TAATTCTATATTTTAATAAGCCTACACTGTAATGCTTTAATTTTCTATTTAAAGTTTATTGTTGTAAAATATTAAAATCAAAAACCAACAAAATTAGAAATGAAAGCTACTTCCATTTTTATTTGAACCTACAAAAAAGACAAGAAAAAAGCAGCATTTTCTTGAAAAGAGTCGTTTTGTGACGTTGTAGAGAGCCCCCTTAAGGCTACCTCGAAAAAGTACATGAATTGTTTCACATTATTTACTTCGTATGTTATCCATTAAAAAAATGAAATTAAAAGTATGAGAATTATGTTCCTGAAATGCCAATTAGCATATTTGTATCTGAGATAATTCGGTATTTTTCGGAGTCCAGGTCATCAGATGTACACGACAGTGATCCTGGCGATGCTCGGTAAGATCGGGGCCGCTGCAGCTTTTGCCGTTATTTATGTCTGGTCAGCGGAACTATACCCCACAGTGGTTCGTAACGTGGCCATGGGTGCCAGCTCGTCCTGTGCGCGTATTGGAGGGATGGTGTCCCCCTATATAGCAGACCTCGTAAGTCTTATCAATAACATACTGTACATAAATGAAAAAGAAATCATAAATTTTGCTTCTTACATATTAGGTACAAACAAATTCACAGATTGAAAATTATCAATGTTTTCTATTTCTATCTAACAACAGTTCATCTTAATTCGGGAATGCATTTTGATAAAGTACAGTGAAAATAAATTATTGATATGATGTATATACATTTTAGGTTCAAAGGCGATATTTTACCCACCTATTTATTTTCTATTGGTTATATTCGTATAGATAAAATAAATACATGATACACGAACTGTGATATTAAGGCAATAAAATAAGATCATTTCCTATTCGTTTATGAACATATCTGTTTTTAGAGTTTGTTGGTTGATGGTCATTTTGGACAAGCTCTTCCTTTAGTCGTGTTTGGGATAGCTTCAATAATAGCAGGACTGCTTTCCCTTATTTTACCGGAAACACTAGGAGCCAATTTACCAGAAACCATTCAAGATGGCAAAGATTTTCCTAAACCAAAGTAAATCTTTAATATTCCATACCAAAGGAATCTATTTCTTTTAAAATATAAATAACCGACTTTTATTGCTTGAATGAATTTTGTTGGGTTTTTTTTCTTTTTATCTAGGCGAGCAAAAAATTACTTGGAAGACAGGTCTTCAAATGCTCACAGGAATGATGGTTTTACTGTTGATACGACGAAATTCTAAATTAATTATACTCATAGATATTGAACATATTCAACTCCTAATTCATAAAGCGATGTTTTCATCTAGCCTGCGCTATCACGGACTCATTCATCATCTAAAACAATATTATCGCAGATAATTCAATTTATGCCTTTATGAGAAATATATTATATTTTACACCTCAGGATAATTCCGTATATCCCTGCGCAGTCTGCAGGATATGTGCCTTTAGCGCAGCGCAGTTATCATATAACCTTTCATTGCGAAAGCGCAAGCGTTTCCTTTCTCGACAAAGTAACCAATCAATATCCTTGATTTTGTTGCGCCATTTTTGTTAGCCTGGTAGTGCCTTGAAAATTTCTTGTAAGTCTAAAATTTGAGTTTTCAAGTTTAACTGTAAAATTGCTTTGATTTACTAGTAGTTGTAATTGTAAAGAATGATTTAAACGAACGGGAAACAATCCACGTTTCAAATTCATATGTAAAGATGGGGAATACAAACGTAAATTAATAAAATTGAATTCTTCCCCCATATTTTTAAAATTTAATTTCAATTTGATTTTCAATATCATATATATGTAAAAGAAACATAGTACTTTATATGTAGGGCATACATGTACACTCTCAATAAACTCAATACTTAGTAGTCAAAATTTCATTTTCTTTCATTGATTTTTGTCTGTTTAGTTTATAACATTTATTATTATATATGCAAGTTGATCTTCACCGGAATATTTAGCATAATGATATACTCAGTATATCATTTTATACTAAGATGTTAATACAATGTCCACATATATATTATAGATTTATATAATTCAGTGCATACCGGGGTATTTATGTGTAGAAAGACAGATTGTGATACATTTCCTGCCAAAATGTAATACAATTTTTTTTTCGACTGGGATGAACAAGTTTATTGTTGAAGTCCCTCCTAAACATATTCACGATTATGCAATACATGTATGTATAGATATAGCACTTGAAAGTTGTTCTTTTAATTTTTTAAAGAAATCTTTGAAATGTTCTTTGATAACGTACAGTATTTATAAACTATTGTTTGATAAATGTTTTCTGTTATTTTTATATTTTTAAAAACTTGTTTTTAAATGTAAATGAAATTTACAGTTTGTACTGGTTTGATAAATATTGCATAAAATATTGTTTTGTACTTATTTATTTAAACCAATGACAAACTGCGAAATGAACGGTAAAACTTTAAAAAGAGATACTTTTACAAGCGTTGATTGGCATACCAATTAAACCTGCAATAGATATTATGTCTAAATGCATCATATATTAGTACATGAAGATAGTTTTGACGAAGTTTAGTATTAATTATGTTTCCTAACTTTATCCAAATGAAAGTACGTCGGTGATTTCTTTCCTTTGAAATGAATGTCTTACGGAATACATTAAGCTACATGTAGATTAAACTATTTCGTTTGTTTATACTTATATTAGATTCCATTGTTTCACAGCATCTGATATGAAAAACCTTTAAAATCATTTTAATGAATGTCTTACGGAATACATTAAGCTACATGTAGATTAAACTATTTCGTTTGTTTATACTTATATTAGATTCCATTGTTTCACAGCATCTGATATGAAAAACCTATAAAATCATTTTAATCAACATCTTGGCAAAGTGAATCAAGTATATTTTTTCGGGTATTGTATTTTATTTGGACATGCTAAATTACATGTTCTCTATCATTCAGGAACGTTCAATTTTTGGATTTTGAAAATCGTAATTTTGCAATGTATAGCACCTGTATTCCAACTTTTTCACTATAAAATATACTTTAGACGTCACAGAAATAGAAAGAACTTTGTTGATTCTTGTGGCAGATAATGATACTTATTCAAGCTTGCCAGCACTCTGATTTAAGAGCAACCATTCCAAACGGTTTTGACAAAGAGGAAGCAATTTTCTCCAAAGGGGGGATGGCAAGATTTTTTCTCTCAAAACAATAGAAACTTCTTATTATTGACTGTTAAAGCTGAACAATGTTCGTAAAAGAAGGAGAGTTGCCTTCGTCCGTCATATTTGTTTTCTCAAGGGCGTCAATCGCCAGACGCTATATAAACCTAACTTTTGTCCAGAATTCAGTGTATCTCGCTCCACTGGGTGTACCTGAACCAACTCCTCTTTCATTGTCATATTGATTGAATTGGGTGCATAAATAATAACTTCTATATGACTGTCACGTCAGAAAAAATTATTACCAACGAAATCCGATGTCAGTTGCCACGGTAAGTGCATTAAAAATCAATACAAATGAAAACATGCACTGAAATAAAATTTAAACAAATACACAATTTAAGCAATGCATCAACTACACGCAGCAGTGACCAGGTAAAAGTAGTCAGGTGTAATGAATGGGTTTTTATACCTTAATGCTAATGAGATGACAAGGGAAATTAATACGGTTTATGCCTATTTGCAAGTCAACCGCATATATATAGAGTATAATTTAATATATCATTGTTAGTTCTAAATGAAATATGTAGAACTAACGAACAGTTTTCGAGCTCAAACGTTTATTAAACATAACAAAATAGAAGTGGAGCAGACGCAGACCTCCAAAACATCAGAGGTGGGATCAGATGCCATGGAGCAGTGAGCATCCCCTGCCGACCGATTGCACCCGGAGTGTGCTCCTTGTCATGATCTGGAAATAACGGGAAAATCCTTGGATAACTCAGTGTATTTATAATGGCATAACAATCAGCTATTATGAAAAAAGTCAGTCAGCATTAGATTTAAATGATAATTTGATTTGCTGTCAAGGTATTAATATCGGTCATAGAACTTGATGACTTTAAACGAGACAGCTGATAATTTTGCTTCATCAACCTGATTGTCAATAACTTGCCTCGTTTAAGAAATTATACATTCGCTGAAAATGCTCTATCATGTCAAAAAATGTATTAAAATAAGATTGTAACACATTTTTGTGTATTTGCGGAGAGAGATAACAGATGCGAGCTCTTGAGATAAAAGTAATTAAAGATATTGACCACTAGGAGTTGAACTTTTAACTTGGAGGGTTCCAAGAAATGTTTCATTGGAATGTGGTTGTTTACTTGTTTATCAAAAGATCTATTCACTTGGTTAGGGTGAAGAAGCAACCAATAGTATTGAAGTGACCAGAGGCAAAATGTTGGGATAAATTGGCTACAAGAAATAATATTTAAAGATTATGCAAAAGATTGAAAATTATTTTAAAAGTGCATTAGAAATTTATAAAGCACTCAAGGTCAGAATAAAAGTAATTAAAACTTCAAATTCAAATTAAAAACAGTTATTGCAAAATTTTAAGGACTAACAAATATGGGGATGCACGATTTCATGCATAAAACAGGCGGCCGACAGACACGATTTCAATGGAAAACTGAATCGTGACTGTCTTGGTTGCATTTTGTACAGGTTGAGTAGCATCTCCACTCTCCAACACCTGTGAGCTGCTCAGATCAGGGAATGTCTTCAGATTTTGAAGGAATTGGATATTGAAATATCAAGGAATCATATAATTAAAAAAACCCTGAATTGAGTCGTTCCGACCCAGCTCAAGGATTATAAGAGTTATTCCACTTGGCGTGTCCTTTCACTGGAATAGCCAATATCCCAGTTGTAAATGAACAAGCTCGTGATCGAGCTAGTGCCATTCGGGGCTCTGCAGCCTCAAACTTCGATGGTTGATAAGTGGGGAGATGAACTGGTTATGATATACGTATCAAATCAACAGAGAGATATAAACCGTGTATGCAGGTGACAAAAGGTGTATCATACATAATTAACATGATTAAGGGATGCTGACGATTCAAAGGTTAAAGTCGTCATGTTTATCCTAAAGCTTTGTTGCTTTGTTGTTTGAAAACCTACTGGAAAAGAAAAAAGTAAATAATTCTAAATTAAATAATATATATTTACTTTTATATCATACATCATAAGACATATGAGTATTATGGGTTTATCTTAGCTATACAATATTATGATTTAAAGTTTCATTGTAAGAGCTCAAAGTGTTTTTCCTTTTACTTTTATCATACTTCGATTCATTAGACGTACATGTATGAAAGCGAGGTGTTTATCTAAGCCATACGAAACAAAGATATAAAGATTCACTACAAGAGCTCCAAGTTTTTTAAGTGTCGTTCAGAAACACAGTACACAGTAATTAATCAGCTATTTCGACGGACAGACACTCGGACCAAAAATAAATGTGCCCCCATTTCAGTGAACTGCTTTAAAGGTGTTGAAACTTGATTTGTAGTATTATAACAAGAAAATATTAAATTAAAGGGGATTTATATCTGCATCGGGAGAAGTCTGACTCCAAAGCTAGAGATAGAAAACGTTTCCCTGGAGGAAAGTGTTCCTCTAGAGTAGAACTTCCCCAGAAGTCCTCCTGCTCAAAATTCTCCCAGGTAGAGGTCAGTCCGGGAAGGCTCAGGTGTACAGCCAAAATTCCCGTCGGAATGTGGTGGAAGTCACTCTTCAACACCGGTGAACAGGGGCCATGCCTTTGCTATCTGGGTCAGCCTTGACTATCAACAGGACATTTTGAACTTCACGTAAAATTTTGAGTCTCTAAAGGTAAGGACAGCCTTGTCCGCAAACAGGACGTTGTCTCTACCATGTTTTTTTTCAGCATGGCCTTGCAACAGCATTTCTTAGAGTTTAATTCTCTATAATGTTGGAACAGCATAAAAAGTGCAATAAAAAAGAACGCTAGATACGCTAATTTAATCAATTCGTCGTATTACGGCTGGAACGACATTCTCTGGATATCTAAATGAATTTTATACATTTTAGAACATACATGTATATGCTTGAAATATATATATGAAGACACAATTGTGAACAACTAGAATTCAAGCTCAAACGTGTATTAATAAAACCTAATTTTGGAGCAAAGCAAACACGGACCGCTAAATATCAGAGGTGGATCAGATGCCATTTGGAGGAGTGAACATCTACTGACGACTAATCATACCTGCCGTGTCTTTTTGTCATTATCGGGAAATTCAGCGTATATATAATGGCCGATAATGGCCTAACAAAAAGTATGAAAGACGTCAGTTAACG